TTTTTCTTTCGTAAGAGTTCTCAATTTAGTCTGATTGGTATTAAATTTGTCTAATAAAATAAAAAAAATAGGGGTAGCAATTGTACCCACTAAAAATAATATTTTCAGTTATAAGGATATATATATATATATATATATATATATATATATATATATGGTCTAATCCAGAAGTATCGGGAATTTTATAACACACAAAAATAAAACTACAACATATATCAATTCAACATTTAATCATCTTTGAAGTAGTACCCTATTAAATCCATCCACTTTAACTAGCATTATTTCCATTGATGGAAACATTCCTAGAATTGCTTTTTGTGGGATAGTGAGCAGCTACCTCATAATATACTCTTGGATTTCTTTTCAAGTGAGATTTGATTTTTGGAAAGAGGAAAAACTTGCAATATGCAAAACCTGGGTGACTATGGTAGTTGTCAAATGTGGGAAAGTTGTTCTTGGTTAAACACTGTTGTACAAGCTGAATGGATACATGCCTTACTGTGTCTTTCTGACAGACAGTATCCCACAAATCCCACAACACAATATTCTTTTTTACTGTCTGACTAGATGGAACATACTCATGCTAAACAATGCACTTGTAGTTGAAGAAAACTTTGAATAATGTCTTATTACTTTGACTCACTCATTCTTTCTTCAGTCTCAAATAGGTTGGAGTTTTCTATTGCAAAGATTGAGTCTTGGTTTCAGGGTCATGTTTTGACCATTTTCAAGAAGTTTTTACCTTCCTTGATGCAGCTGAAACCCTATTTTCTTTTTGATCAACTGAAAGCAGTTTTAGCATAAACTTGACAGACACGTGTCTAATACCCAAATATTCAGTGAGAATTGACTGAACTGAAAAATAATTAATGTTCATATCCTCAGACAATTCATACAAAGTGATTCGTTAGTTTTACCAAAGAGCTGCATGTACATCTGAGATGGTTACATTATTTCTGCTCATCATTAGACTCCCAAAATGTATGCCACTATCATCATTTTCTTGGCCATCTTTGAAATCAACTATTTGTACACTTGTGCCGGGCTCATATACACCTTTCCATACGCTTTCTGCAAATTTGCATAGGTTTCTGTGCAGGTATCACCAACCCTTTGGCAAAATTTGATGAAGATTCAACACACAACCACACTCTACACACTTTCCTTCTAAGCACTACTATAAACAATGGAAGTTAATGTGCATGCATGACAGAGTTCAATGTCAGTCTGTGCTAAGCAGCTTCACTCTATGTACTTTAGTCCTGATACATTTTGATCAAACCTCTTCATTAATTTAAAAACAAAATGAATTGCTTAAACAGGAAACAAATAAAAAACAGAATACACCTACGTTTTCAAAACCTTTAGAAAATCCCAGAATATTCAAGAAAAATTAACCTAAAAATAAGTCTTGTCTCTGACACTGGAAATGACATTGTTGCATTCTCTTTTGACACTCAGAGCAGAAAGATAGTAAAAATAAATAATTAGAGAATATAAGGAGATAAGAAAATTATGAAAAGAAAAAATAACAATGACACCATATGTATGTACACATACATACATGTACAGGTTTATACACATGTGTATTCACACATACATAAGAAAAAAAGAAGAAAATATCAAGCTAACACTAATAAAAAGGGCATAACTTATTTTTTATTAAATTAATATAAAAATAACAAAAATTAAAAACATCAGCAGACAATAGCTGATACCTACTGATATATGGACTAAATGATTATACAAAGGTTTGTCTACAAAACTCAATCAGCTAAGTGACAAATTTTATATTTGTATTAACACTCTCTCTTTACATATATATATATATATCTATCTATAAAAGGCAGGATGTATGTGTGTGTGTAACGAATGCACGACCACAATTTTCGACAGATTTGCACCAAAATTTACATGCACATGCTCCAAGTTAGCGGGAAGGCCAAGACTGACATTGCATTTCCCAACTCCCATCGATAGTAGAAATAATTGATTTTATCATGCTTCTACGGCAGTTTTCATGTAGTTTGTGGCCATTTTCTACTGGCCAGAGTGAGAGCCTATAGCTGGCTGCCACGAATAGGCAGGAAGATTCTATTGGCCAGCATGAGAGCCAACAGCTGACTGACATGAATGTTAACTAGCATGCTAGCATGCAAAAAAATAGATAGCTGCATTCGCCACCAGTGGGAAAAATTTAAATCTGCATGGCACTTTACTCCAATTGGCTTATTTGCTTGCTTAAACTCAATGTTGATTCTGATTCCGCAGAACTGGGTTGGGTGTGAAAAAGTATTTGTTGTTAACATTCTTTTTTCATTCGGTTTTTCCAGTTATGAGTCCTTTTTTAAAGCTGATCGTTTTGTGTTCATTTTCTTTAGTTCTTTTTTTGTAACAGATTTAATGTTTAGTATAGAGCTTAGAAAAAATTCACAGTGTGAGATAGGCAAGAAGTAAGGCATGTAGCAACATCAGCACGGCAAAGGGCACTCCTTTAAAGGCAAGGAAGAGAAAAAATATTTTAAGTCAAGTGATAGCGATTGCTGTATTAGTTGTACGATTTTTGAATCAAGCACAGGCAACGCTGGGCCATGCTGCTAGTATATATATATAGATAGTATTATTGGTAAATATACACATACATATGCAATCATATATCTGAAATATATAAATATATATACATACATACATACATACATACATACATACATACACATACATATATATTTGTATAAAAAATAATTCCAAGAAGATAGAATCCAGGTAAGCCTTTTTATTATATTTTTTATATATATATATATATATATATATATATATATGTATATTTTTTTATAATATTTTTATTAAAAATATTTAAAATTATACTTTTTTGCTGGAAGTAAGGTGTTGAGTCATTAATATGACACTTCCCTGAGATATGTATGAATTCCACACATCCCCCGACACCTAACCTATATTTTTAACTTTTCAAATTTAGCACTGACCCTCCCTCTGATTAGTTAAAAGAGACAAACCCATAAGATCTAAAAATTTGGCTTCTCCCACTTCATATTAACTCTTTCATAAGCGAACATATTGTTCCTTATTTTCAAATGTGAATCATTTTCACCGAAGTTACCGAATATTGCCTGATGATGAGATAAAATCATTAAGTCTCAAAACATAGAAATTTCTGTGTTGCCATGTAAAATATTTTTAACAAAAACATCATTAAAATATATTAAGCTCTACATTGTATTCAGCACTTCTTTTAAAAAAGTAAATGTCAGAGAATTTGTTTGATCTTTCTCTTCATTTGGACATATATATATATATATATATACAAAAGATTAACAGCACTTAGCCTGACAACATTTCAAAACTCTGAACATCTAACCACACTAACGTTTTTAGGATGGGATTATTAGTTTGTTAGTTTGGGAAAGCATGCCATATGCACACATACACAAACACACACACACACACACATATATATATATATATATCACTCATCATAATATATATATATATATATATATATATATATATATATATATATATATATATATATATCACTCCAAAAAATAAAGAAGAGAAAAGCATCAAAGTGCCATTATCTTTATTAATTTTATTTTGTTCAGCAAAGTTTTTGCAAATATTAGTCAGAATCGATTTTGTCAATCAAATTTGCTTGTTATCAACAAGTTATTCTTTGCTTTTCATTCTCCATTAAAAGCAAAAAAGATTTCTCAATAATCTTGATTGCAAAGACAAACAAAACTGAAAATGCAGACAAAGAAAGGCACCTGGAAATCAAATGAGAACAATCTCTTGATGACTTCAATTATGGAAAAACATCATTCGTAAAGTAAATCCTTAAAGAATCATGGCATTTCAATGAGAATTCTAAAGAGATAAATCATTAAAATAAGCATAAATACATAAAAAAATTATCTTCTGTCTATATTTCTGAGATGAGGTATTGTAATTATTTACAATGTTTGGACTGTTGTCCTCATCTTTATTGTCATATTCATGATGTTTTGGCCAAATTTATGCTTTGCTCTTCTTCAGGATCAGGATAATGTAAATAATTACAATATCTCATTTCAGTAATATAAAATTACTGAAATGAGATATTGTAATTATTTACATTATTCAGACTGTTGTCCACATCTTTATATTCATGACATTTTGCTCCGGCCTTCTTCAGGTAGTATATGCCAAAATTTTGAACCGAACCCTTGAATGATGTAAATAGTTACAATACCTCATGGGTGTGAAGTATTGTAACTATTTACATATTTGTTGCATCAGACATTGTGATATATATTGAAATTTTGAACCAAACCAATGGTTCCAT